CATACTCAAAGACCAGACAGTTTATAAAGCGCAAGGGTTTAGTTATAGTTTTAACTAAACCTCCTTGCAATAAAAACTGGATTAAAACGATAGATAGATTTGAGCTACAATTGGTATAAATTGAAAGTAGTTCAGGGTTTTGGTTACTTACGTTTAAAAAAACACTTATACAGAAACTATTCAAAGATTTCGTCAAATATAACTTTATTAATGATTGATTAGATAGCAAAATAACTATTAAATGGAGAGATAACAAACAAGAACGTCTTGTAAATGAATTTTAATCCTAGGAATTTAGTTTTATCTCAATTTGGATATCAATATATATATATTTTGTTTTTAGGATTATTTTGTTTGGAAAGTATTCATTGTTTTTTAAAAATGTGCTGTTCTTTTTATCCCTTAAATTATTGCATTACTTGTCATTCCTTCTAAATTTGTCATTCCATCATCAATACTCCTGCGCTTTTTACTTCTTAGTTTTTAAGTTTTTAATATATTATTATTAGTCATTAAGTAATTAATATGAATAAGTTATTTCTAGAATATTAATAGAATAAGTACTTTAAAAATATGTCTGTAATATACTTTATATAATAGTAGTCAGTTATTTCTGTTTAGTTTATAATTCTTCAAAAATATGTCTGTGATATATTTGAAAATATATTTTGTATTTCGTATGTTTTGTTTTTATTTCAAATAATAATTTTTTTCAGATTTTTGGGCTGTATTGATTTTATGTACAAATGTAGAAGTAATACCAGGGGTTAATTTACATACTGTATGTACATGTGCTGCCATGTAGTGATCTATTCGTAATTTAAAATGAGTGTAACGTCAAATGGCCCGAGATAGCGATCTATTTATGCTTATTTAAAATATCTAATAAATATATATAGATAGTAAGCTAAATAGGAAAATGCACATAATAATGCGAAAAAGGAATAGATAGATTTAAAACTGAAGAATCTGAACTGGCTCATAAGAAAAAAGTCCGAACTCTTTAACCGTTAAGTGGTTAAAAAATAAGCTCCTTGATAATTGCAATATCAATACACGGGATAGAGCCATGGGGCTGTGCCAGCAAGAGCAATATTCTTATAACAAAATACTAAGAATCATGTGCAGCGCTCAATGGTTTGATCTACAAGGACCTAAAAATTCCTAATAGAAATCATTAAAAACAGAAAGTTAATTTTTCAAGACAAATTGGATGCATATGTCAATCCCTAAATGCAAACAGCCGAAGTACCTGAAGGCAAAATGGCTCAGTGATCTACCATCCACAACATAATGTTGGGTGTTTTGCATAGAAAGTGCAAATTTTAATTTAATTCTATTTCCTTTACTACCTCCTTTATTTTCAATATCCAATACCCAAACTAATACTAGGTTATATTGTTAACACTAATACTAGGTTATATTGTAATCTGACTGTTGAAACTAGTAATAAAAGAAACAAAAATCGGAATTGGAAATCGATACACCAAAATTGAATAGCTACAAAATCACAAGCAAAAGTCAGCACAAGCCAATAAAACTTATTGTTAATAAAGACGACAAAAATTTGGAAAAATCGACGATGGAAATTATCTGATGGAATATAATAAAAATGTACACTAAAGCCTATTATCTTACCTTTCAAATGTCACTCGATTAGACGCTCGTGACTGCCATTTTTTCCATTTTCGAGGCTCCATTTATCCATTTCTAGACGCGTCTACAAATTGCACAAAACGTATGTCAAGTTTGCAAATACCGTCACTTTGGAAATTACCAAATGCAAAATATTTCTTGCACAACTAACAACATTATTTTGAAGGCACTCACTTCTTAAAGAGATTTTATTTTTTGGCCATGTGTTTCCAATGGAATCCCGTAAAAGAAAGAACTCAAACGCCTTCTACAAGTTCTGACAGGTCGTTTTCGATCAATGAACAGTAGCGCCATAGGAAGCGCCAATTTTAAATTTGAATTTTGACAAAATATAGATACAAATTGTTATAAAATATAATTCAAACCACTAACTTTAATTCACATTTGTAACGCATTGCAAATATAATAAGTATTATTCATTATTGTACAGATTTCTCAAATATTTTATTTATATTAAACAAATTATTTTAAAGTTGCAAAAGACATAAAAAAAGAATGTGCGTAAGGTTCACACACAATTGAAGTGAAACTTTTTTGCTATTGTACGAGATGGCATTTAAATTTCAAAATCCATGGATAGATATATTCTTGAATATTTGATAAATTTAAAACGGCAAAAACTTTGTTTAACAATCCATGGATATATATCTCTGAATATTTGATAAAAATAAAAAGACAAAAACTTTGTTTAAAAATCCACAGACAGATATCTTTAAATATTTGATAAAAATAAAACAGCAAAAACTTTGTTTAACAATCCACAGACAGAAGATATCTCGGTATATTTGATAAAAATAAAAAGTCAAAAACTTTGTTTAAAAATCCACAGATATCCATGTTATTAAAAATCTATGGATAGATATCTTTGAATATTTGATAAAAATAAAACATCCATGGTTATTCACTCATTTCAAACATGTCAAAAATATTAACAGTTTTCACATTTTTTCAACAACTTTCCAACAATTATAGAGGCTCAACTGATCTTTACTAAAAACTAATCAGCACGATTCCCAACTGATATCTTATGAAGAGTTTTTAAATGTTCATCAAGATCGAACTAACTAATCAATCCGGACGTTTTTGATGAAATGGCGAGTTAAAGTCAAATTTCAGTCGACACACGTACTTTTTACAATTTTTTCAAACGATTCAAAATTACTTCAAGACGAGAACACTTTCTGTAAAAAAGTCGGAAACAAAACAATTTCGGAAGAAGTTACAAATAATCTACAATATTCAGTTATAAACACACAACACAATATTATAAACTAATAACATTTGAATAAAATAATATGCAAAAAAATGGTTCTCAAAAATCTTAGCAATTTTGTTTGCTAATAAATATAAAAATAAAATACATGTCCAACCAAACGAATTGGCTGTAAATTTTTTAATCAAATTAGCGAGTCAAGTGTACCTAGAAAGCCAGCTCACCAGATTAAAACATAAACTACCTGCAGACCTCATTCAGTCGAGTTGAATTTATTCTTATTATTTATTTAGTAACTATTTATTTAATTATTACTTTTCATTTACTATTTTTATTTTATATAGGTACTTTTTTTTCTTCTTTCTTTTTTGTTTTTATTATTTTTCTTATATTTCATATATCCCTAGTAGACACTGGGTGTATCCACTAATTTCAATATTAATTAATATAATAATCAATATTATTTTCTCAAATATATGCTAGCCGTCTCTGGTTAATGTTTTAGAATAAACAGATTGATGAATATAGTTAATTAAAAAAAATAATATTTGAATCTTTATTACTATTATTTCATTGAGTGTTATATCATTATTACCAATATACTTTATTACCATATATAAAACTATATAATACACACAATAAAATCTAGCTCACAAACTATATGTAAAAATAATTTTTAACAATAAAAGTAATCATGAACTCATCTTTCAGTTAATTTTAATTTAGATACCATTATTTTAATAAACAATGGATATCTAATCATTAATAAAATGTTGACATAGTACACATGTTTAAAAATACCAAATTCAAGCAAAAGAATTTGATTATACTTTTAACTTTTTAAATAACCAGATCTATAATTTATATATGTATTTTAAATATAAAACTTACTTTTGTGTAGTATATCAATGCTAATTGAACAAAATCAAATTTTAGCATGTAGTTGTAACAATTTGTTGCTGGTGGTGAGTCAAATTTATAGAATTACTGACGACCTTAGGAAAATTTTGTGGCTTTTTTGAACATTCCAAACATGTAACAATTTCGTTACCTGTCATATTGGGAAATTGAGTTCGAATGCAACCTGAAAATTAATATAAATTATATATAAATTACCTTGCTAAATAATGTATTATTCTAAATAATTTGCTAAATAATGTTAATAACTAGTTTATTACTTTATATATATATATATATATATATATATATATATTCATATATCATTAGAGTAATACTAATTTTGGCGTAAAAAGATTAATTATAAATAACTAGCTGTACCCATTCACGCTTCGTCGTGTTTACTTTCAAATAAAATTTTAAGAAAAATGCATATTTGTTACATCTAGTCTACCAGTTTTCTTGACTTTTAGTCTGCCTGTCTATATGACTATCTGTCTACCTCTCTACCTGTCTACCAGTTCACCTGTCAACCAATTTACCAGTCCACCACCACCAGTACACCAGTATATCTGTCAACCTGTTTATCAGTATCAGTTTACCTGTCTATCAATTTGCCTGTCCACCAATTCACTTATCAACCTGTTTATCAATCTACCATCTTACCTGCCTACCAATTTACCTGTCAATCCATTTTACATATCTATCAATTTACCTGTAAACTTGTTTATCTGCTGACATATTTGTCTATCTATCAGTTGTTCTGTCTACTTTTTTACATATCCACCAATTTTCCTGTCCACCAGTTTACCTATTCTACTATTAGTTATATTACTATAATAATTACCTGTATGCATTTTATGAGTACAAATCTTGCAAGTCATGAAAGCCTGATTATCAAGAACACATAGATAGCACATTGAACAATATCGTTTCTCTTGCCACATTCTGAAATAATGTCATATGTATTTTAAGACAAACAGACAAAAACAAACAAATAAATTGAAATAAAAACTTCAAATTAAATAAAAAAATACTTCAAAAAGGATTTGTGGTTTAATTTTAATGTTAAGTTATAGGACTTAGTTGAAAAGATTTTGGCATTTTATAATATACTTGTGTAGAATACTGTTTTATGCTATAATTTTTATGTATAATATAACTTACACTGCACAGGGCTGACACAACTGCCTTGGACCTCTCGGAGTGTCCACCCTTCGCCACTGCTTAATTGAAGTTGCATTTGTACTATTATTTGTTATACCAGAATCAGGTGATTTGCACGAGTCACATGTACTGCATAAAGTGCAAGACCATTTAGAACTTGAACTATTAGAACCTGATAAAAAGAAATTTTTGTATGATATATAAACTTCAGTGAAACCGTATGAAACTGAATTTCATCATAAAAAAAACTTTCATAAATTCAATCAATCATTTCTCAAAGGCTAAATATAAAATTATTTGCGTTTATTACATTCAGGTGATAATCATATATCTTTTCAAATACTAATTAATAAGTACAAACTATGTGTGCATGGAATTCTGCCTTAAATAATTAATATTTTATAATAATGTACTGAACTCAATATTCAACTGCACCAACCCACTATTTCAAACTTCATTGAATTTTTATAATTAAACTAATTTTCGTAGGCCTATAATATTTTAGGATGTTCGTTAAGATCATGAACTCACTTTGTAGAGTATCATTAAAATCACTAACAAAATCTTGTTAACAAGTAATTAAAAAAAACGGTCCTGTTTTCGAAATTTTTGCATTATCAAAATCAGTACAGAATTGTGGGCGAGAAAGTTAACGAAGTATTTAGTCTTCACCTGCTAATGACTTTTGACTTTTTGAAATTGTAAAGCATTTTTTGATGGGGTCAAAATGATTCAATTTTGACTCACAAGCCTGCATTCATACACATATCTCCAATTTAGGTGTCAAGCATTATCTACAAAATTAGTAAAACAGATTTTCTTGCAAATCAACAACAAACAATTGAAAACCAAATTTAAAAATAGTTATCAACAAATTTTGTCTACAAAAGTCAATTCACAGTTATACCCTGGCTTACGATCAGTTATTAAAAAAATTTACTAGCATTCCCATGTACTAAAAACGGAAATCAGTTGCAAATTACCAAACAGTGACTTACGACTGTTTATAAGTATAATGGAACCTGATACTAACAAACTTGTTAAAAACTGTTAAATTCATCCATCTCATATAGAGTTTAAAAACTAAATTCTATTAAAAGTAAACACTGTCTTTTTATTTGCTTTCACTGATAAAATTTTCTAATTTAGAATGTAAGGTTACACCAACTAATATAGCACACTATAACTACATTATTAAAATTAAAAAAAAAGTTTCTTAGAGATTGTATGAAATATTTGGTAAGCGGGCGCTACAAAAATTTTGATCTTCAAGAAATGTCTTTCATTCTTCTTCTTGAAGAAATATCTTTGAGAAACGCTGCTCTACAGCAATTCGGCGTGTTTATATTCTATCAAAATCATTATTAACATATATTGATTAGTCTATTAATTACAAATGTCGGGGTCATGCAACTTACCTTAAGGCAAAATGCAACAAAGTTACATTTAATAATAGTTAAACAAAAAAACATTAATTACCATTGCCAATGCAGGCGACATGGGCGCATCGATCACAACGTTCACAGCGCAACACATTTGGAGATTTTTGATTTGAATTCAATCCATTAGAGAGAGAATTATCTCCATTGGCAGCTGCCTGTATTGGTTTAGAACATTGCAAGCACTGTTTGCACTCCATACATCTCCAAGCATAAGATTTTGATAATAAAATAGATTCTCTCGATCGTAATCCTGCGCACAGAGCATGCACTAAAAGAATAATAAAAACATTTGTTAGAAAAATAATGAAATTATAAAAAAGTTATTATTAACCCTTTTGCTACAAATGTCGTCTATGGACGTCATCCATTTGACGACCTGACAACTTTTACTTCAATATTTATCACGCTGATTTAAATTATTGAAAATTATAAATTGTATTGTGGTTTTTAGATTTTTAGAAATGTAATTTTGTTCTTTTAGAAGTGTAATTTTGAATTTTTAAATACATTTTTACTGCCTATATTTTTAGAGAGCCTATTTATTAAATTTATTTTTCCATTCAAATTTTGAATACAAACTTATACAAATCTTAAAACATTTATTAAATTTCCTAGAAATAATTAAATAATACTGCTCAAACAATTAGTTTACAACCATCAGAAAATGAGAAGACTGCAAAAGATAAATAATAACACAAGAACTATGAAAAAATATTAACAACAATAGTACAAATAACTTAAATTTTGAATAAATTTCCTCAAAAACTAAACATCTCTTTTAATTTCTGTCTCATTTTTCAGATTTTAACCCAAATCAATATAATAAAATTGTTGAAAAACCTATTTAAAGTTTGAGTATACATCATTAACTCCTTTTCTACAGGAGTGTTTTCAATCAATAAAAATGTTTTTAAAAATTATAAATTACATTTTTAAAGATCTAAATATTACAATGACATTAATATTGAAACAAGGGTTCAAGAGCGATATTCATACACAGGCAGATGTTACCTATAGGCGACACTTGTAGCTTGTAGCATCTTTTAAAATTAAAATTAAAATAGTTATTTAATAACAACACGCAAAGTGATTTAATTTAATGTTGTTTAGCAAAATTATAATACAACATTCATTGTAACATTCATTGTTTTATGTATGATATATTGTGTCAAATTATCACAACGGTTGTAATATGGTGGTGACTAGGGTTTATACAAAAACCGACATTTCAGAAAACCGGTTTTCGATTTTTAATTTTACTAAAAAACCGGTTTTAACCGGTTTTCGATTTTTAATTTTACTAAAAAACCGGTTTTAACCGGTTTTCAAATTTTATATAGAAAATAAATTTTTGCTCGAGCATTATGTAATTTATCCGCAAATTTAGTGTAATTTTTAACTGAATTTATTTATTGTTCAATTTTATAAATAGTAAACAAAATTATTTTAATTTTAATAAGTAGAACTAAAAAATAATAGTTTATCTTGATTAAATAGCTTCGAAAATAATTATTCGTTATTCATGCATCATTTCACAAATAAGAAAATATTTTTATGATAGTGAAAAGAAAGTTTTCGAATATATAAAAATATTACATTTTTAAATAAAAAAAAATTCATTAAATGAAAAAAAAAAAATAAAAAAATATTAGATACATACTTGTTAATATCAATTTTAGTTTTAAAAACAATTAGGCTAAACTTTTCTGTTCTGAGCAATTTTATTTAATTAATTTCAAACATTCTAATTATTTTTTGTTTAATAAAATATCATTTCAAAAAACTGAGAACGTCTATCGAATTTCTACATAGACGTGTCCTTTGTTACTCACAAAATTTACTGAAATAGAAAATACTCTCATACTTGCAACCAAATTATGCTTAATTGTTTTTAAAGTCTGATATAATAATCTAAGTTTCTTGTTCTTTTATTTGTGGCTTCTAGAGTTTAAAATTCTGTTTTTTTTTAAGTTTGAGTAAAGGAAGTTACTTATTCAAGAATAAGTCACAATGATTTAAATTAATATATACACTGGTATAAAAATCGAAATTAATATATTTAAAACCTTTCTGGGAACCATTGCAGACTGGTAAGATATCAAATGCTATAGAAATGATATGATTTCAATAATCAAAATGCTTTTATCTATCCTTTATAATTGGCTATATTTGTCATTTTCCATTTATATAGTAAAAACCGACTTTTTTCACTAAAAAACCGGTTTTTAGAATTCCATAATTTTCGCCAAAAAAACGGTTTTGAAAACCGGTTTTGAAAATCGGTTTTTGAAAACCGACAAACCCTAGTGGTGACACATAAAATGTACTACCACTACTTTAAAAGTTCCTTAAAGATGACTTTATTTTTGGACTCATCTCTATTCGAATTAATTAAATGTATTAAGAGAATTTTATCTATTTGGTAACATACATTTTGTACCAGAATATCGGAAGACAAATTTAAAAAAAAAAAAAACAGGCTGTATTAGGCAAATGGGAAAAATAGCAATAGTATTGTTCATTAAGGTGCAAAATTATACCAAAATAAAACCTACTAATTGATATATTTCAAAATACTTTTTCCCAAGTCCAGAATTAAAAAATATGACATAAAACAATAACAGCTATGAAATTATTAATTTAATTACTCAGAACATACATTTTTTACTAATTATTTCAGTGTATTAATAACTTGAAGTAAATGCCATAACATTGAAGAAATAACTATTATATTGGTTCAAAACTCTTACCATGCGCTTTACAGCCAGTGCATTGAACAAATTCTTGCCCTGGTTTTGAAACTTTACATAATCGGCATGAACGATCAGAATTTGAAGGACCATCTTCATCCTGAAATAAACAAATAATGAAATAAGAAATTGATTTAAATATATCAAATAGTTATTTTGAAAATATTAAATTTGTTTGATTAAACTGATTGTAAAAAATATATTATATGTGACACTTGATTTATATTAAAGGTTATATTTATAAAGTCTTAATAAATCTAACTGAAAGCTTTAAAAAGAATAAAATGATTAAGTTAATTAAGGTCAGTTTTTTCTATAGACTATAATTTTATGTATAATATAGTTTTTATGTGTTACATAGTATAACAACAATTACCTCTGAATCATCAGAACTTGAATCGCTATCTGAACCACTAGAACTGGAACTGGATGATGAACTATCTGAACCTTGGTTAACAACAATTGGGAGTGTTTGTTGGTTAGGCTTCTGTGGACCATACAAAACAGTATCCAATGGGAAATATCTGTAAAAAAACCATAGTAGAACACATAGTAAACGTAACAAGTGCAAAGTTTTAGCACTTTAAAATATATCCATGAACAATTATTTACAAAATTAGAATACCTAAGCTCATTGGGTGAATATTTCTTGTAGTAGTCACAAAATTGTCCAGGAACTAAAGCAACTGGATAATGACCCGGTTTTGTTTTAGATGGACTTTGCACTCTTCGAACCGATTTTGATTTCTGTATAACATATGTTTGAAGATCTAAGCAACCACCTTTACGATTCTCCATTCGGCTATTATAAATTAAAATTACAATAAGATTTTATGGCAAAATAGCTGCATGTTTCAATTCAACAAAATAATTAAACTTACTCTTTATTAAATTTACTGTTCCAAGATGAAGCAGAACTGATTGCGCGGTCTTTTATACTTCTTTGTTTATTTCTATCATTGTTCATTGCTCGTTGTTTTATAGCAAGTTCTTTAGCTTGTTTATCTCGTAAATATCTGGAAAGTGACAAATGTAAATTCAAATATAAAATTTAAATTACAAACACAATTTTATTTCATTTTATTCTTAATAAATAAGAATTGACTTCAAATATGAATGTCTATGTCAAACTCAAGTTCTGAATATCATTTTAGAAAAAAATGCATGAAAGTATTAATAATAACTGAAAGTAAATTAAAAGCAATATTTTACATAAAGCATAAAAAGCTTATCATATCTGCTTACTTTTTATACTCATCATATTTCTGAGGAAAATCAGCAGACATAATATCAAGCACTTCACATGTAGGAATGGCAGTTAAACCCAAATCACACAACGTTTCAGTAACCAGATTTCTACTCATAATATAATCTCTTTCCCTCATTTCAACTTGTCTTCTTCTCACATCAGGATATTTTCTTTTAAAACTCGTAACACCAAGATATAAGGCTATTTGTTCTTGTATCATATACATTTCAGGGAACAATTTTTCTTCATAACTATTTGAGGTACCATTAGTTGTAGTGGAAGTATTATTGGAAACTGAATTAGTGTTGTTGTTCTGGTTAACAGTAGCAGTACTAGTAGGCGAAGCCACTTCGGGCTGGGGCCATAGGTATTCGGCTATCATATCAACAGTAAACTCAAGCTTGCTGCAAAAGTAGATAAAATTATGTATCTAGCAAAATAATAATATAGCAAAATATATTTTATACTTGCAAATTAGAATATGTTTGAAAAATAAATGGTATAATAAAATAAAAATGCAACAATGTGATTGCAAAAATCTACTTATACTAGTTACTAAAAGAATATGTGGGAGCTCCATTGCTGTTTATAGGGCTTTTAAAAGATGGAAGAACATGTATAAGTTACGCCAAAAGCCAAAGGCAATAACAATCCATTAGTATGGTATACTGACCCTTCAGAATCTCCGACTTCCATCCTTCCACGTTTGGATTTTGAGTTTTCATTAGCTGAGCTGTGCATTGAACTTTGAGATTCATCTGCTCCTTCACCAACTCCACTTCTGAAAGTAATTATGTAAATAATTTCAAATTTTTAATAAAAATAATATATAATCACGACAAATATTTGCAAAATATTGCAAAAAGTTTTAGATATGCTCATTACGCGTTAAAAAATACGCGAAGCATTATTATAGTATATTTTTCAAGTTATCCTAGAAATTATTTAAAAAAAAAAAAAGATCAATCTTAACTAAATCGATTTTATACTTTTACTTATTGCTTATTTTTGTATTCTTAAAAGTAAGAATTGTATTTTGGTGTATATAAATTGTTTTCTGATAGATGTAAATATTAAATAAACTGATTTCTTTAAAATTAATCTAATTGATTATACACTAATGGCATAATGTTGTAAATTATAAATTGTCTTAAGAAATGATAAATGGCAACAAAAACATGTTGCTTAGTAGAGTGTATTTCTTCCAAGGAATAATGAATCAAAACATCAATAAACTACACTTCTCAAATAAGCAATATATCATCATTCACACTTCTTTTTCACACATTTTTAAATAAATACAGGGTGAGGGCGGAGTACAAAGGTCCAATTACACATAATTGTAATATTTTGGCTGGTTACACATCTTCGCCCTTTTCTATATTATACAATTCTATATTATATCATACAAATTTTTGAAATAATATTGGAGAGCCTTTTTACCCGCAGACCTTTAAGCCCCGCATTACCCTACTATAAAGGTTAAGAAAAGCAAAAATAATATTATTTTGCACCTCGCAGTTTTTCCTGCTTCGGTTGTAATTTGAAATTTCTAACTCAGTCTTTATAGACATGAATATGAACTACACAAATATATTTAATAAATCTCAATATAGTTACTTACTTTATAGGCATTCCAGGAGTACTTTTATTCCCAAGATCAGCACTCATTCTTGTATCCTCTTCAAACATTGGAAGTGGATTTTCCTGAAATTGAGTTAGATAATTTGAATTAATATTGTATAAAACTGATTATAATAAAAGATTCAGAATAAAAACCTATCCAAATATGTTGAATTGAATGTGAATATTTATTTCAAAATTTTTCTTATAATATAGTCTCTCATATTTGCTTGAAGTTTTGAAACTCAATCTTTCTTTAATTTGAGAAATACAAAGTTGTGACAAGCAAAATTGATAAATTAAAAGTTTCTTTTGGTACTTTGATTAAACCGAATACAAAGTCATGGGAGTTTAAGAACATTTAATTATAAATAAGATGTGACACCAGTGCATAAGCCTTATTATAACAATTAACCTACCTTCAAGCTGCTGCCTCTCTTTTTAGGAGAACCTCGACTTCCTCTGGATCCTCTTCCCCTTCTACCTCTAGTTGGCGCTCTTGTTGAACCTGGAGTCTTCATAATGGATGAGGGAGAAATTCCTTCTGGAGATAATATACTTGTATCCATATTTTCAACCATTTCTTTTTGAGAATCTTGAGGAGTCGTCACTTGGTTAGGAGCTGATGTAATGAATAAGAAAAAATAAATAAAATATAAAGTTTTTTTATATTAATGTGGAATAAATTTGATAAGAGACAATATTACAATTTTATCTAATTGATAATAAAGTAAAAATAAGACTAATTTTAAACAAATTTAAGCAAAAATCGATTAAAGTTTAAAGTATTCAGTATAGTAAATCTCTCCACATGTAAAATAACAATTATTAACATTTGTAAATTTAAAAATATCTGGCGTTATTGTGACTGATAAACACAGCATTTAAAAAACAAAATACAAGGCAATAAATTTAAATTGAAGCTTATGTCTTGTGCAGTTTGTTATAAAAACCTAATGTATTAATTAAATAGAATTGTTATAAAATCAGTGTTGATAGGTCTTACGAGAATATCTCATATTCTTAAAATATCTCACTTGAGGGTATAACAGCATCTGAACTATCATCAGCTCCAGTCAAATCAATGGGTATATTACTGGTCATCGCTTGCAAATTTTGAAGAGGATCCGAATTTGACACCATTTCCTGATGTTGTTTCGTCAAAGATTTAATCTTATCTTGAAATGATTCTAGATTTCCACCTGAATTATATAAAATGATAAAATTAATTATATTATCCATAAAACATTAAAAGTTTATTTAAATTATTATCTTTATTATCTGATTTGTCAGTAAGTCTACATTTTATATACAAAGACTACATTTCTAAATACCAATTCTATAAGTCACAAGATAATTTCTTACGGATTATTTTCACATTATAAATATCAATAACAGTGGTTTAGTACAAGTAAGACGCTTTTTTACAATGTTGATTATTTTTTATAATCAAATAATTAAATATATTAAATGATGTTTATATTTAATAACAGATTCTTTTATCAAAATGAAAAAAATGTTGAAATCAAAATTATCAATCCCATCACCCAAATAAACAATCAGCATTCATATAAATTAGTAATTCCCAAAGTGGTCCATAAAGTCCCAAAGGAGTCTATGATACATCAAGAAGTTCACGTCAACAAAAAATAAATTGTGAGGTCAAATATAGGCCACAAAATGAAAATGACGTAGGTATACACTATAGTATACTAAGAACAATATAAAATTTACTATAAACTAAAAAGTAAATTAAGCTCGTGAAGATTTTTAGCGTTTTTCGAGACCTTTATAGTATTTCTAGATACTTAAAAGAAAGGTATAAAATACAGCTTAATAATTGAAAACAATGCTTAGTAGAAAGGAGGTTTAGCGTTAATACCGATCTCCTAACAAGAAATAGATGTATGAACATAATTAGTCAGAGATGTAAGATTAAATTTTACAAAAATGCCGTCTAATTTACTTATTACTTACTTTATTTTGTCATTTTAAATTCAATTAATAAATATATAAACTTTTTGTAATACTAAAATTGTATTTTTACTTTGAATGTTTAAGACCGAACATTAGTGATGTTAGATTTTTCTAAAAAATTCTCTATTGGGTAAAAAAGGGGTCCATTTCAAAGCAAAGGAGGTCAACGGCACAAAAAAGTTTGAAAATCTATAATCCAAATCATATACTTTGTAGAAACACTGTGAGTTTAACTAAAAAGTTATTTCTTGTAAAATATTATTGAACAAGGTAGTTGGAATTATTAAAATAAAATTATTAAAATTATATATTATATATATATATATATATATATATATATATATATATATATATATATGCATAATTAAACATACAAAACAATAAATTAATAAAACATACTTTGTTGATTTTGAGATTGCCATGATTCTGGACTTTTCAAAGCAACCTGTGCATTATCACCCGAAGCTTGCTGCTGAATGATTTGGTCCTGGATATTCAGCATTTGTTGAATCCTCTGCTGTTCCATTGAAACCTGAAGAGCTTGCTGTTTAGAGCCACGGCCTCTGCCACGCCCCTTGGTGTGGTAGAAATCATACCTCCTTTACCCACTGATGATCTAAAAAAATGTTAAGTTTATAAAGCATATCAATTAAAATAATTAAACATTCAATATGAATCAAAAAGATTAATTGCATGAAAGTGTATCATGAAAGTCAGATATTTGTTTTGAATAGTTTTTATGGCAAAATAGTTAAATTAAAATATAATTAAATTACCATATACTTAATTGTACATTCAGAGTTGATGTGTGAATAATTATCAGTAAGTGTATTTTGCCTTAAGGCAAGTTGCATGAACTACACATGTGTAAATGGTCGACTATTAATAAGAAATCAATATCAATTTAGGGATGAATTTAGACATTTTTTTTATTCATTGAATGTCTCTTAAATTTTTGAAATCAATTTGTCGTTATTGGGAATAAAATAAAAGATTTTACTGGCTTTTTGGAGGAAATCCGAAATCTCTCTCGATAACAAGGTACTTCTGTACAAAACTATCATAGTGCCCATTTGGACTTATGGACCGAACTATGGGGTTGTCTTGCAAATCTAACATAAACATCATTCAAAGGTGCCAGAACAAAATTCTGTGTATCCTTACTAATGCGCCTTGGTATATTCAATCAAACTTTTGCCTACATAAGGATTTGAAAATCTCAACAGTCAACGAAATATGATCAAGATTAGAAGTTCATCTTTCAACAATAAATTAATCCAGCATACAAATCCTACTATTCAAGCGATTCACAGACCGTTAAGAAGATTGAGCAAGATATGGCCATCCGATCTACCAAACACCTAGCCCAATGTCCACGCGCCCTGACGTAGTACGCGGCATACATAATCACGTCATAGTTCATTTTTGTTATTATTTTTGTATTACTGTTTTTATTTTATTTTTATTTAATTTTTTTCATTTTATATTCAATTTATTGCATTTTTTTTGTATTTATGTATTTTTTTTGCTCATATCATTTTGTAATAAAACATTAAAATCTTGATTAACAAAAATAAATTGTAACAAAAAAAAAAAATTGGAAATAAGTCTACGAAAGTTAAAAGTCGGCTCAACTACGCTCACATACTTTTTCCAGAATTGGCCTCGAACGATTCCAAATAACTTGAAACATCAAGAAAGCATAAAATTAGCGAATCGGATTTTCTGGCAAAAACATAAAATTCATCTTCAACAAGTTAATACATATTTTAATTAAAATTAAAAAAAAAAGTTATTCACAAATTAATTATTTTTGCAAATACCATATGGCAAATGACAAATAATTATAAGTAGTATATGTATAGATAATTAGAAATATAATAAAGCAAACTCACTCACGTCCTCTGGTACTTCTACGACTTGTTCTAACTGGGCTTTCACCAGATCCAGTCATTAGACCTTCAAGCATATGCTGTGCTGGAAAGAGACTGTTTTGTAGCATTTCTTGAGCAAGTTGTTCTTTCTTTTGCGCAATTAAGTTAGCATCTTTTCTTGGTCTTCCTCGTTTCCTTGGCATGGTTCCTCTGTTAGGAGTTGTAACAGTAGGAGACACGACATTCTGTGCCATTGATTCACCCATGCGTATTAATTCAATATCTTTCCCAAACTTAAGATATTGGTTATTTCCAGTATCTGCAATAGGATCATCCTCTATCAACAATCAATCCAGAAGAGCTAGAGTTGTCATGTGCTTCATCAATTAAAACCCTTTGTAACGGAAGTGGTGAATCTTGTCTTGGTTGTTCTGTTGATTTTTGGTGCAGTTTAGATAAAATGTCTCTAAGTCTTTTCTCACTCTTCTGCTTCTCAGTTTGCTTTACTGTTGGTGATGCTTGCTGTTGTTTTATTGGTGATATTGACACATCTGGTGGCAACCTAGAGTATATAGAATCCACACAAGGGCGTTTCACTTCAATAATATCTAAATCAGGATTCATTAATGCACGTTTCATAGAAGCAGTGTTAACATCCTGTTCTCCGTGAACAATATGAGGATGCTGCCCCGTTTTGGATAACTTTAGTTTATTTTATCAACACTTGGACTTTTGCACTGAGAGTCTGTAGAAGGTGATAAAATTTCTGAAGTCGAGTTAGTACTTGCACAGATTTATTAATTTTCAATATTATTCGAGGTGATTCTTGTCCGCTTTCCATTACCTTATCAGTAGTCACAATTTCCAAAGGCTTTGTTGGATCTGCTTCAGTTTGTACTGATGGTATTGGTTTAATATTAAACTTAGGCATGTCTTTTGAATGATGTGCATCAGTTTTAATATCCAGTGAAACATCAGAAGAAAGTTTTAATGTGAGTTTGGGAACTTCTTTCTCAGGCAATGGTTTTATTAAAACCCGAGAAGTCGGTTTTGTTTCACCTTTTTAGGAGATATTGTCACCTTTGGATGCACTTCTTGTTCAGACTTAACAACAGGTTTTATTGTGACTTTAGGAGTAAGATGCACAGAGTCGAAAGCACCTATCTTCGCTGTTGATCGAACTGCCTCATTGTTATGAGTATTCTCAATATGATGCTCACCAGTACTAGATAGTTTTACAGTCAATTTGGGAACCGTTTCTGTTTCTGGTTTAGGAACTGATTTTATTGTTAATTTTGGAACAACATGCTTTTCAATTGGTTTATCTTGGTCATCTTGATCTTTTTCAGATGACTTTTTAATAGTTAATTTTGGGACAATCAGATGAGTCGTTTTTTCTTCAGTCGTTTTTTCAAAGGTCTTTATTGATACATCTTTATTATCATCTGCATCTTTTTCAGAAGGCAATTTTATTGTTATTTTTGGAACAGTTTGCTGCACATCACTATTTTTTACTGATAATTGTTCCTTATCAGCAGGTAATTTAATCATTAATTTAGGAACTGTTTGATGAATGGATTCCTTTTCAATAAGTTTGTCCTGTTCTTTATCAGACGATAGTTTTATAGTCAGAGGAGGTACAGTGTGTTGTACAAGCTCATCTTCATACTCTGATTCAGAAGTTTCTTTACTTAGTTGGCCGGTAGAATCCGCAATTGATTGATCTTCTGGATTTAATCTCAAAGTTAACTTAGGTACCTTTTGTTGAACCACATCATCTGTAGAAGAAGTAGCCTGTTGATTTACATTAACAATAAGTTTTGATATAACTTCAGCAGATTTTTCACTGGTTCTTATTGTCAATTTAGGTATCGTTTGAGTAGAAGACACTTGATCAGCATTAGTTTCTTCAGGCTTATGCTGAATTTTAAGCATTAACTTAGGAACAGTGTGTGCTTCATCGGACATTTTACATTCATCAGTTTCAGACTCAGAAGTAACTTCTTTGCTGCTTACTTCAACAGGCAGCTTCAAAGTTAGCTTTGGAACAATATTTTTAGAAGATTTCACTTCATCAGAGTCTGATTCTGATGAAGGATCTTTATTATCTATAGGTATTTTAAGAGTTAATTTAGGTACAATCTCTGCTTCAGGTTTTACTATTGGTTTTATTGTAAGCTTTGGTACTGTTTCAACTTTGTCAATAAGTGGTGGTTTGCCTTCCTCCTTCTGCTTCTCTGTATCAACTACGGGTTTAATAGTTAATTTTGGTATATTGGATTCTTCATCTACAGGTTTTCTAATTGGTTTAATCGTTACTTTAGGAGTTTTATCAGTCTTCACACACTCCCTATTTTCAGTCAGGCCAGACTCAGCAAGTTTTTGAATTTTTGTGATAATAGAAAGTGAATCACTTTCAGCAGGGCGTTTTAAATTAGGTTTTTGTGATAGATTTAGTTTTAGAGGTCCTACCTTACGATCATCTATTTTTGTTTCCACTTTATCAACTTCATCCGAATCATTTTCAATTGTAGTATCTGCTATGACACTTGTGTCCAGTATGCTTGATTCTGATTGTAAACTTTCATCTAACAAATTAGAACATTTGATTAAAACGGGTTTATTGGATTTATTTGATTTTATTGTACTTGGGGTCACAGTACTGGTGGCATCAGAAACATCTGTATCAATAGATGTCTCTTCTGAAACTTCCATAAGTTGTTCAGGCATTTCATTTGTGATAGCTTCTTGAATATCGGTATCCAATTTATTAGATTTATCTTCAGAGTCTTCAGACACAGGAACATCAAGGCTGCTTTCTGTTATGATTTTTTCTTTCACATCATCAACTGCTAGGGCATCTTTGGTTTCGTCAGTAGTCTCAACAGTTTCCATACTTTCTACTACCTCAGTTTCCATTAGTATATCTACAGTTTCTGCAGGTTTTATTAGTTCAGCATTTTCTGTATCTTCTTCCAGTCCAGTAGTAATTTGGTCACTTGTCAATATATCTTCAGATAATTTTTCAATACTGATTGATTTTTCACTTTCTTCCTCGTTATTATCAGATACTTCAATATCTTTTACAGGTTCTTCTGTTAATTCTACCTCTTTCAACATTTCTTCTGCTTTTATCGTTTCTTCCAATTCTATTTCTAAGTCTTTTACCAATAATGTATTTAAATCTATAGTTTCTGCAACTTCTAAAACGTTTACATTGTTTGCAATGCTTGTAGCAGCTTGAGCATGATCAATTTCTGTGGTATTTGAAATTATATCATCATTTAATTTAAAATTTTCTGATTCTACAACAGTTTCTTCTACTTCTACGTTTTCAATTAGATCAGTATTAACAGGTTCATGCACTTCTGCCTGTTTCACTAATGATTCAACCTCGAGTATATCTGTTGCCTCACTTACCACATTCTCTATACTTTCTGGATTGTTCACAGTTTGTTCACATTCAATATCATCAATTATTTGTTTGTTCGTTTCTATAGCCATTTCTTCAGTTTTCGAAACCATTTTTAAAGTTAATTCCTCATCTGCAGGTAAACTTTTGGGTTCTTCATTTGCCAGAATAGATACTGAATCATCTTTAATATGTGTAACCTGCTCAGTTTCTATTGTTTCAATAGCTGGTGAAGATTCATCTATTTCTGGAGCCTCTGTCATTTCTGCATCAATCATAAAATCTGTAATTGTCACTGAAGATTCTTCAATTTCTAATGTTTGTTCAACAATTTCTAAATCTTTACTTGATACAACAGTTTCTATTGCTTCTGGTAAAGATTCATCTATTTCTGGAGCTTCTGTTATTACTGCATCATTTATAGAGTCTATAATTGTCACTGTAGATTCTTCAATTTCTGGTGTTTCTTCAACAACTTCTAAATCTTTATTTAGAACAGCAGTTTCACAATCATAAACTCCATATCATCATCGGTATCAACCGTTTGACTAGTACCTGCTTTAATTTCTGGTAGTTACTTTCTTGACAAGATTCGGGCATATCATCATCCAACGGAAGCTTGTTCATATCAACTTTCTGTTACTTGTATTAATTCAGTTACAATATCATCTACATTACCTACATCAGTTCCAGAAATAGTTCAGGTCAGTATTAATGGGAGTTTCAGATTCGACAGCATT